AAGGTGTTCCCCAGGGGACCAAGATGGGACCACTGTGCTTCCTAATCCTGATCAACGACGCTCTGTCGGACACTCCTCACAGGTGGAAGTACGTGGATGACTGCACTGTGGGGGTTTCAGTGGACAATACCTTACCGGACTACTCATCGCTACAAGACACTTTGGACAGGCTACAGGCATGGACTACGGAGAGCAAGGTCACCATCAACCACACCAAAACCGTAGTCATGCACACCAATACCGCCACCACTCCAGTGCAAGCTCCAGCAGTCACAGTGGGTGCCCATCCTCTCCAGTTAGTGCAGTCTACCAAACTCCTGGGTGTTACCATAGACCACAAACTGGACTGGAAGACCCATGTAAACACAATCAAGGCAGCCTCATACCGACTCTACATGCTACGACGACTCAGGTCACTTGGGGCACCCACGCCAGAGCTGAGGACTATCTACAACGCCTTTATGCTCCCCAAATTAACGTATGCGTCTCCAGCCTGGTCGTCTTCTCTCAACTCTACCCAACAACGTCAGCTAGAGAAGGTACAGAAAAGGGCCTGTAGAATCATGCTCGGCGCAGACTACTCCGGCTACAACAACGCTCTCTCCACCCTGGAAATGCCATCCCTCAGAGACCTCCACCACCAAGCACTAGCAAGTTTTGGCAGTGGACTACAGCACCATCCACGTCATCGCTCTTGCCACCGGCAGTCCCCCGCCCACCTTCGCGCAGTCCGCCACTACAACAAAATTCAGCCCATAAAAGCCGGCATTGATAGATATAAGAATTGCAGCATCCCATCTATTGTTAAAATAATAAACAACTCCTGATTTATGTATTGTACAGCCCTGTAAATGTATTGAACGCATATCATTATGTCTAAATCACATGTAAGTTTGTATATTTTCAGCCACCGGCTGGAACTCTATCAATAAACCGTTTATTATTATTATTATTATTAATTATTATTATTATTATTATTATTATTATTATTATTTTTATTATTTACTGTATGTTGTTAACCTTCACACACACACACACACACACACACACACACACACGATGTTAACCTTCACACACACACACACACACACACACATGAAGTTAACCTTCACACACAAGTTGTTAACCTTCACATACACACACACACATGTTGTTAACCTTCACACACACTAATGCTGGTGGAATCCAGTACAGCGTGGAATTAATATGACTCAGATTTATTTCAATATTCGATTTTGAAAGAAACCCCAGACATCACGAGGTAAGTAAACACGAAAACAGGACGTGACATAACAATGTGAAATTAATTCAGATAAATATTAATTTTGAAAATCCAAGAACTGTTGATGTTTACATGTAGTGAGATAAATTTAACGTTTGGTAATTCCGTCGATATATAAATTGTTTCTAGTGAATAAACGATATTTGTAAAGAGTTAATTAATAATTCCTTGGATAAACATTTTAACGGGGGATACATGAAGCAGTAAACGGCAAAAACAGTTGTAATGATTATGACTATGAGTTATTCATCTAAAGTGAGCCAGACGTCCTTGGATCATCCTAGAACCTGGGTCAGTGGTTCCCATACTCGGGGTAGGATATAACTCATGGGTTCGCCTTGGCCTTACTATTCTACACTGTAATAAAAATATATGCCTAAGATCAAACCCAGTGGCTCCAGGAATACAAGGAGACCGCTACACATGAACCATACGGCGGTCGGCAAAGTTAAAAAGAAAACTTATGATTTCGAGACGTGGGTTAGGACAAATGGTGAGCAGGACAGGGGGATGCATGCCGGATCGAGGAACCAAACAAAAGCAGAGAGTAGAAGGGCTGAAAAAGAGTTCCAGAGGCAGATTGCTAGTGAGGTCAAGCCAACCCCAAAGGCTTTTTTCCGCTAAGCAAAGTCGAAATTAAAAACACGAGTAGGCATATCGGACCTGCATGAGGCTTGAAGATGGTAGTTATTCAGATTCTGACCAGGATAAGGCGGAGGAGTTGAATTTTTTTTTCATCGCTGTTCACAATAGAGGATGCGAACGAACTTTCTGCGTTTGAGGAAAGACGGTTTGACACAGAGCTGACCCACATTGTGTTCACAGAGGAGAATATAAGAAATAAATTGTCAAAGGTAAAGATTTACAAGAGTCCCGACCCTGAAATGGTGCATCCCAGAGTGTTAAGAGAACTGTGTAACGAGCTTGTGGAGCCCCTGAAGATCCTGTTCTGCAAAGGCCTGCAGGAGCAAAAGGTCCCCGACGACTGGAAAATGGCTTATGTGAATCCTATATTCAAGAAGGGCGATCGTCACTCCGCGAATAATTATGGACCAGTGAACCTGACCGGCATAGTATAAAAAATACTAGAGAGCATCATCGTAAGAGATGCCATGGTGGAACATCTGCTACAAAACAACCTTGTAAAGGAATGCCAACATGGTTTTATGCTGGGAAGATCCTGCTTAAAATAATTATTCAAGGTACTTGATGTTTAGACTCAAATTGTAGAACAAGGCGGAAATATCGACATTGAATACCTAGATTTTGCCAAGGCTTTCGACAGTGTACTCCATGAAAGGCTGAAAATTAAACTGGAAGGGTACGGGATTCGGGGAAGTGTCCTAGTGTAGATCGGAGGTTTTCTGCATTACCGCAAACAGTACGTGGTGATAAATGGTACGAAATGGTATCCCGCGAGTCACACCTATGACTCGCGGGATACCACAGGGCAGTGTATTGGGCCCGTTGTTGTTTGTCTGTTTCATTAATATGCCAGAAGCTATACACTCCTTCCTACACATGTTAGCGGACGTTGCCAAGTTATTTAGGGAAATTAAGAACCAAATAGACTGTGGAGATCTGCAGAAAGAGCTCTATGAGCTTCAAGAATGGTCGAAGAAATGGTTGCTAAGATTCAATGTCACGAAGTGCAAAAGGATGCATCTGGGTCGCACCAATAGTAAGGAGGCGTATCACATGTCCCAACTGGATGAAGAGACTGCATTAATTGAGACCGAATGTGGAAAGGACCTGGGTGTGTATGTCGACAATGAACTTAAGTTATCTGGCCATTGTGAGAAGAAGGTGAATCAGGCAACGAAACTAGTAGGTCTTATAAGAAGGTCGTTTAGTTATCTGGATGGTCCGTCGCTCGTCACGATCTTCAAGAGTGAGGTGCTTCCCCGTCTGGAGTATTGTCATCCCGTCTGGACCCAGAGGTTTGCTAGATATTGTCAATTGATTGAAAATGTTCAAAGGATGGGAGTGGTGCCTGCTCTACGGAACCTCCGTTACCCAGAGAGATTGGAGCACCTGCAACTACCTAGCTTACACTACAGACGGGCGAGGGACGATCTAATCGAAGTGTATAAACATCTCAGGGGGCACTACTGGTCGAATGTACATACCTGGAGCTGGTGGACGTCTGCTCAACAAGGGGTCACGGCTCAAGGTTGAAGAAGCCGCTAGTCCAGAAAGCTGTGAGGGCATTTTTTTTCTGATCGAGAATTGTGAACTCTTGGAACAACCTACCAGAGTGATGTGACGGCACTGAGTGTGAGTTCATTCAAGACCAGACTTGACCAACACTAGTGCAAGTTCCGATATATTCAGGAGCTAGTGCATGCCCAATATCTGCCAACAGTGAGTATCAGAGACGCGACCGACCGCCCAAGCGGCTAACGAACCGATCAGTGGCGAAGAGGATTAAAGTAAAAAGTCAAAGTAATGTCACACCGTTTTATAAAACAGCAAAGTTACCGATATGATATTTTAAGAAAAATATTGTAACGCGTACTATACGTAATGGGGTGGGGATTTAATGGGAGGAACTTGGATAATGTTGTTGTTATAATGTTATTACTGTGATTCAACAACGAAGGTTAATAATACACTAGTCCAACAACATTAAAAATTATGTAGGTTAATGTTGATTCCTATAAACTAACACTCCCCACGAAATATCATATTTAAGTCCACTGTTTGTATATGTGGTTTGTTTTCGCTGTCATAGGGGTTTACTGTAACAGGTAAATAATAATAATAATAATAATAATAATAATAATAATAAGATCAGGGCAAGAAGGTCATCGTAAATGGCGTCGTACACCCCATGACTGTTCTTGTGACCCACATCGGGGACTGGGGGGCGAAAATTTAATAATTATTCATAGTAAATACTATTTATAATAAAAAGTAAAACCAAATATTAATGATAATAACAACAATAATAATAATAACACTGTAATAATAATAATAATAATAATAATAATAATAATAATAATAATAATAATAATAATAATAATAATAATAATAATAATAATAATAATAATAATAATAATGAACTATAAAAAAATAAAAAATAAATAAATAAATAAAATAGTGAAAAACGCTATATGTTTGTTGGTATGTTGTGTTGTCAAGTGAGAGAAACAATTGAGACCCTGCAATTGTGTGTACTGTAAATGAGCCAGAAAGTCAGCTCAGCAACCTGAGACTTGGTCACAATTTCTTGATGCCATATCGCGGCAGGGTCTACCATTAGACAACACATTATGCTTCCAATATCTTCCCTGGCGGCAGTACCTCCCTGTTTGGTAGCTGCCTACTACCTGTTTATTGCAATGCCGCGATTATGTATACATACTGCAGGACTTCTCCAGTCTCCATCTTTCTTTTTTATGAACATCTCGGCATGTAGATAATTACAATAATCTATACGTGAGGACTAAGGCGTATTATTAGTTAGAACTTAACTTAAACAACGATATAAAAGAAACAGACAAAGTTTTAACATACTGTATAATAATTTATTCCGATTTAGTTACAGAACAAATAAATTAATTCTTTTTAGATAAGACGTCCATTGCTCTTTCAGGGTTTATCGGACGACGTTTATCTCAAGTAAGCAAGGCACACAACCACACACAATATATGAGAGAGAGATAAATAATATTTACTTATATATCGCTCTATTTACTCAGTTTTATTCTTTCAGACAAAATTAAAACATTTCGGAGATGGACGAAGGGGAGAAGATGAAAGAAGCGATCACAGAGGTGAAGGAAGATCCCCAGGAGTTGAAAGAAGGGAAGGAAGTGGTCCAGGAGGAGAAAGATGGGAAGGAAGTGGTCCAGGGGGAGAAAGATGGGAAGGAAGGAGACCTCTCGTGGGTCAACACCTTCGAGGACCTGTTGGAGGTAGTGGGCACCAACGGCCGCTGGAATATCCTTATGTTCATCATGTGTGTCACCTGTGAGTGTCCATCTGAGTCACTCTCTGAGTCACTTCTTGGTTTAATAACTAAACTAAGCGTCCACTGACTCACTAGGCTAAAGGATAGGCTAGGCTAGGTTAGGTTAGGTTAGGTTAGGTTAGGTTAGGTTAGGTTAGGGTGGTTAATCCTTAGGCGAAATATGCTGGGGTGTTAATATTCATGTGATACAACTACAGTAAACACACGGGTACTGGGAGTATAGGTCGAGTGTCTTCCTCTTAACAGCGGTGGCGATATCGCCGCTACAAACTTTGTCCTACCAGTTCCTCGGGGCGACACCTGACTACTGGTGCCACATCGCCCCCCTGGTAGAGGCCAACTGGACGGACCAACAGATACTCTCCCTCGCCATTCCTTACAGGTAAGACCTCGTTCTTAGTATTCGTAAGGAAGGAAGCTCTTCCCCTCACCATCATGATCCTCTACACCTCTTCAGTGAAACTGTTTAAATGAGCAAATTTTATCATGTATGAATAAATTTCCTTTAAGTTATTGTAAAAAGTAACTCAAAGTCCTTCTTGAGGAGGCGATTTGGGCCTTTATGACACCTAAGCTTTTTTAAGAAACAAGAGTAAGTTACACTAGTATACCCTGGAGGAGAAAAAGAAATCGAATGCGTTCACAAATCACCCCATTCCTTTTTCTATCATGGCAAGTAGCTACCCTGCCACGACCTTAGTTCTTACC